TTATATAATTATATAATTTTTTTTTTTTTTTTACACTACTTTTTTTAAACGTACTTTACACTTTTAATTTATTTTTAATTATATCAAGCAGTCTTTGTGAATGGATCTCGCTATGACTGATAGATAATTTTAATTAATTTTTGGCTAATATTAGGCTGCTCCAAACATAGGAACAGCCAATATTAATCTTAGTGACACTGATCCTGCAGCATATCGGGCTCAGTGTCCCTAAAGGCTTCTGATCGTTCCCACAACAATCAGAACCCTGCAACTTTGTTTCAGCAAAAGAATCGTGTTGCTAAATGTATCTAATGCTGAAACATTTAGCAAAAAGCCAGAAGTACATCCAGATATCCTATTCCTAATGTGTATGGCTGTTAGTGATATCAGGTGCGGTACACACCGCTCTCCTATCACTGTCAGACACCCGATCCCTAAAAGCTGAAATCTATCATTAATGGATGCCTCAATACTGTAACCAATGATCCCAGCGGTTACCGGCATTACAGAGCCCCAAACAGCTGCTCATGTACACTGTATGTGAGCGGTCATTTGGGCACTTGGTGGTGGTGACGTACAGGTGAGCAGTCATTTGGGCACTTGGTGGCGGGGACGTACAGTGTAGGGGAGCAGTCATTTGGGCACTTGGTGGCGGGGACGTATAGGGGAGCAGTCATTTGGGCACTTGGTGGCGGGGACGTATAGGGGAGCAGTCATTTGGGCACTTGGTGGCGGGGACGTATAGGGGAGCAGTCATTTGGGCACTTGGTGGCGGGGACGTATAGGGGAGCAGTCATTTGGGCACTTGGTGGCGGGGACGTATAGGGGAGCAGTCATTTGGGCACTTGGTGGCGGGGACGTATAGGGGAGCAGTCATTTGGGCACTTGGTGGCGGGGACGTATAGGGGAGCAGTCATTTGGGCACTTGGTGGCGGGGACGTATAGGGGAGCAGTCATTTGGGCACTTGGTGGCGGGGACGTATAGGGGAGCAGTCATTTGGGCACTTGGTGGCGGGGACGTATAGGGGAGCAGTCATTTGGGCACTTGGTGGCGGGGACGTATAGGGGAGCAGTCATTTGGGCACTTGGTGGCGGGGACGTATAGGGGAGCAGTCATTTGGGCACTTGGTGGCGGGGACGTATAGGGGAGCAGTCATTTGGGCACTTGGTGGCGGGGACGTATAGGGGAGCAGTCATTTGGGCACTTGGTGGCGGGGACGTATAGGGGAGCAGTCATTTGGGCACTTGGTGGCGGGGACGTATAGGGGAGCAGTCATTTGGGCACTTGGTGGCGGGGACGTATAGGGGAGCAGTCATTTGGGCACTTGGTGGCGGGGACGTATAGGGGAGCAGTCATTTGGGCACTTGGTGGCGGGGACGTATAGGGGAGCAGTCATTTGGGCACTTGGTGGCGGGGACGTATAGGGGAGCAGTCATTTGGGCACTTGGTGGCGGGGACGTATAGGGGAGCAGTCATTTGGGCACTTGGTGGCGGGGACGTATAGGGGAGCAGTCATTTGGGCACTTGGTGGCGGGGACGTATAGGGGAGCAGTCATTTGGGCACTTGGTGGCGGGGACGTATAGGGGAGCAGTCATTTGGGCACTTGGTGGCGGGGACGTATAGGGGAGCAGTCATTTGGGCACTTGGTGGCGGGGACGTATAGGGGAGCAGTCATTTGGGCACTTGGTGGCGGGGACGTATAGGGGAGCAGTCATTTGGGCACTTGGTGGCGGGGACGTATAGGGGAGCAGTCATTTGGGCACTTGGTGGCGGGGACGTATAGGGGAGCAGTCATTTGGGCACTTGGTGGCGGGGACGTATAGGGGAGCAGTCATTTGGGCACTTGGTGGCGGGGACGTATAGGGGAGCAGTCATTTGGGCACTTGGTGGCGGGGACGTGCAGTGTAGGTGAGCAGTCATTTGGGAACTTGGTGGGGACGTGCAGTGTTCGTCTACCTTCACTAAGGGGTTAAAGCTGGCTGCTGTATGGATCAGTGTCCCTCACAGAGACTGAACACAGGAACCCGGCACTGTGAGGTCACTATGCACAGGGACATATCTCCAGATGGTGGGGCCCTCTCTCTGTAGTACCCGGCAGTGTCATTGTTCTTAATAGTCTCACCCCAAGTCCTTTAACAGCGACATGGACTGCTTGTTACAAAAATTACAAAAATTAAATTATTATTATATGTTGGCCATGAATTTAAAAAATACAGACCCCCCACCCCCCCATTCAGATATACCACCAGCCTTCTGTTCAGTGTATTTTATCTTCTGTTTTTTCTTATTTAGGTAAAACTCCAAATGGGCTCATTGAGACGATATCAATGACTTCCGGATCTACAGAAAGTGAAGTGAACGGTGAGGATTTAAGAAGCTCTGAATGTCACATTCACCCCAAGATTTGCTGTTGTTGGTGTTTTTTTGTGTTTTTTTTGGAGACCCATTTTGTGGAACAATGACCACAGACGCTTATAGTGCCAATAAACAACGCTTCCTATTAAACATTTTTTTTCTACCTCCCTCGAGGTCTAAAATTACACCCAGAAGGTTTATTTTGGAAGGAGTTTCATTTCAGGAAGTACTCTGTGGGACACATTTTAATTTTCCTCCAGTCTGGCCTAGACCAGGGTTTAGCCTTTAATATCATCAAGGGCCAAATTTCTGTCTAGGTGATTATTTTCCACTGGCCACTTGCCTCCAACTCTCTAATGAAGGCCTTTGTTTAGGGGTTTGCTCACGTTGTCCCCCCTGTACACACTCGCTCACTGTAATACGCTTAGTCCTGTGTGCAACGCAGAACCGGCTCTATGAACCTCTTAGAGATTTCCCTATGTCTCACATGCAGGCCTTCCTCCTCCTCCTCCTCCTTCTCCTTTCTTCCTAAGGTGGTCACAGCCTTCCTCCTTAACCAGGATATTGTCCTGCCATCCTGCTCCTAACCTAAGCATGGTTAGGGCTGTTTGTGTTTTTAATTTATTTTTTTTACTTTTTTGCTACTGCTTCCATCCACAAGTATGACCCCCCTTGTCTTCATTTCTGAAGGTCCCCAAATGGGACAGCCAGCTTCTTGTTCCACCATGGCTTGGTGGTTTTGGCGTTAATACTTCTTGGGCCTTCCAGAATCAGGTATCCCAGATCTGTAAGGCTGCCCCCATCGGTTCACACTGTTGCCTGGTGGTGTTTAGGCCTCTGCAGATGCAAGCTTTGGCTGCAAGGTTCTTTAGGAAGCCCTCTGACTTGTGGGCCCCTTCCGTTATAGTTTCCTGTTGGGGTTTGTGATTGTTTGCACGGCCTGCAGGCCGTTGTTTGCTGTGTTGCTCGCCTAATGGTTGGACTGCTTTTGGATGTCTCATCCATTGAAGGATGAACTCCCTATGTCCTGTGATGTACGATGAAGAAAACCTTACCTATAAAATCCTTTTCTTGGAGTACATCACATGACCCTCACCTCTGCTTTTTCCTTGGCCCGCTCTTGTACTGCTTGCTACAAAACCTGAGAATTCACTCCCTGTGTCCTGTGAGGTCCTGCAAGAAACTGTTTTTTCAGGTGAGACAAAAATCTAATTTTTTTTTTTGTGCTAGAGTGGTCCTTTAAAGGAGAACTATAAGGTGATTGAATCACTCAGCCTCATAGTTCGGGGTGACGTGTGACAATGAGACTGTCACAGGTCGGCTCAATAGATCGGGAAGTGAGCGAACACATACCGGCGCTCGCTCACTTCTCGATCATGTCCCTGCATGCAGGTACAGTTGGCTCTACCTCTAGATAGGCGGAGCCAGCTGTCACTCATGCAGCTGGGTGGATCCAGACAGTAATGTTGGGATCCGTCCCGGCTGCGGCGTCTCAGTATACCGCGAGCTGTAGCTCCCTATATACTGAGCTTAGGGTGACGGCAGGACGCTAGTTTGTGTACTCCCGTTACCCTAAGGAGAACTATGGGGAAAAGCCCTGACCTCATAGTTCTCCTTTAACTTCCTAAGTAGCATGCCGTCACTTTCCTGACCTCTGTCTGTACGATGTCACAGCCCCTGCCACGTTTTACTAATTTTGTCATTTTGTTTTATAGACTGCAGACCTTCCGATCCAAACCAGAAGGTTCTGGAACTGAACGGGAAGAAGAACCATCTTGCCTCTTTCAGGAAGGAAATGTTACTCGATTCCAGCCTGCAGCCTATATGCCTCGCTTGTAATGGGATCCTAAAATGCTACTGCGACATTCTGAAACAGAAGATAAAGAAGCCGTATGTGTGCGAGGACTGCGGAAAGGGTTACCACCTGCAAATGTACCTCCTTCTACACCAGAAGTCACACTTCCGGGAACATTTCTACAAGTGCACTCTGTGTGACAAAAGCTTTGAAAAAAGCGTGGTGTTGAAGAAACACATGAAAACCCACCTGGACCTGACCAGTATACACCCGGATTCTGGGCAGATAGCCACTGGGACGCCACTGGGCAACCGGCGGAAAGCCGTCAGGACACCACCGAGCGCCCAGCAGGCAGCCTTACACAGCTGTGAGCAATGCCAAGCAGTCTTCCGCAGCAAAAACCTCCTAAGGATTCACAGACGGGACCACAAGAAAGTAAAGAAACATTCATGTTTGATATGTGGGCAGATTGTCCAGACTTATGGCCAACTTGACATACACTTGAAGGGCCACAGGAAGCCCTACGAATGCACTGTGTGTGAGAAGATCAGTACCAGTAGGCCAGATTTCATAGCCCACCAGCGTGAACACTCTGGGGAGCAGATGTACAAGTGCAAGGTCTGCAAGAAAGCTTACAGTAGACTGCCTGGTTTTATTAAACACATGACTGCTCATTTATCTCAGGCCACTCACATCAACAATGCAAAGCCGGAGCAGCCACCTCTACCAGCAGAGAACTGGCAGGAGCTTAGGGGAACCATGCAAAATGTCTTCTGTGGACTGTCCCAAAAGGAGGAACGAGATGAAATACCCCTCAACGTCTGTCACGCCACACTGAAGGTCAACGTGGATGCAGCGAAGGAAAGGGAACAAACGTTTGGAGCCTTGAACGCATGCCCCGTCGAATTTAAACGATTTAAAAAAGGGAAACGGAAACTGTGCAAAAAATGCAATAAAGGTTTCCGGTACCGTGAATCCCTCAGAAGACACAGAGACTCCCACCGGGTTAGGTTCGCGTGCTACCAGTGCGGACGGGCGTTCTGCAAACTGGTTAAGCTCTACCTTCATAGGCATGACCACCAGACCTGCAGGCCGTTCATGTGTAAGCACTGCACCAAAACCTTCAGCTTCAGATCGCTGCTCCTCCTTCACCTCAATACCCACGATCCTTCGGAAACTGGAAGTAGATATCCGTGTGCCTATTGTAGGAAAGTCTTCAGGTCGCAAGCCAACTGCGTCCTGCACCATAAAACCCATGTCTACAAGGCGGCTAAGAGCCCGACAGACAGTGATGTAGCAAGCTTTAGCAATATACAGATCGCTCCATTCTCTGACCACACAAGTGTGGAGAAGAAGCCCCTTCAGGAAGCTCCGCCCTCCAAGGTCTATGTACAACGGCTGTGCTACCGGCCCTGCTAGGTGCGCACGCCATAGCGACGTCTCTAAAACTATGACCCGGCGGGAATAAAACTCAAAAAGAATGACGATGTTCAATGTTTAGTGAGTTGTTGGGGATATCTGAGGATCATATCTGTTTGAGCATCCATCCCTTGTTGTGGAAGATGGTGGAAGGGGTAATGATGGCCCATGTTAAGGGTTGTGTGTTTGTAGGTCTTATCCTCTGACCTTTTATGATCTGTATTAGATCTCTACACATCCACAGGGGTCTTCCCTATGCCTTCTAGATGGTCATGTATGTGTACGCATTCAAACACCTCAATACAGAGGGGCTGCAAAGCATTTCCGTTACCAAACAGGAAAATGTTCCCGTTTAGACTGTTACCCGGTCCAGTTTTCTGTTGTTTTTTGTTTTTATTGGGAACTTGTTCTGTGTTTAAACTTGCTGTCTGAGATGCCATAAGTTGCCTACTCGTGCCTTTTATTAGCAGATACGAATATGTGCCCCTCTCCGATCTGATTTCACTTCATGAGCCAGACTTTCCCTGACCTGGCCAATCCAGCTGTACAATGGGACTGCCCTGTCCAATCAGACTACCTCATGTGCTGTCATTGGACAGGTAGGTGGCCTCTGGTGGAGAATGACCATAGCCATGAATTCAAGGCCGGTCCGGGCTGCATTAGAACTAAGTGATACCAGATTCGAGAAGGCGCGCCTACACAGCTGTGATTTAAAGGAGATCTATGAGGTCAGGGTTTTCCCCATAGTTCTCCTTAGGGTAATGGGAAGACACAAACTAGCGTCCTCCCGTCACCCTAAGCGCAGTATATAGGGAGCTACAGCTCGCGGTATACTGAGACGCCGCAGCTGAAGCGGATCCCGACAATTATGTCTGGATCCTCCCAGCTGTGTGAGTGACAGCTGGCTCCTCCTATCTAGAGGCAGAGCCAGCTGTACCCTCCCCCATCCGTTCCGCCAGTCAGCGCTGGAGGATCGGAGCGGGGAGGAGGGAATCCAGCACCTCCCCTGTCACGGGCAGAGAGCCGTGACAGGATCGAGAAGTGAGCGAACGCCGGTATGTGTTCGCTCACCTCTAGAACTATGAGGTGAGTTAAAAGCACCTCCCCCCCTCATAGTTCTCCTTTAAGGCCTAGTTTACACGGGCCTCAGCTTGTATTCAGAGCCGTGTGAACACCGAGCTTCATGCAGCTTTCTGGAAGCCTTTAAAACGCCCCTCAGCTCCAGTTTGGGAATGTGAAACAGATCTCGGTGCTAACAGACTTCAGAAGGCTTCCAGCAAGCTTCAGGTTGTGCTAAAAGCTTGTTTTAAACTGACCGTCGGCACTCCCATTAAAATCTGATTAACATTCCCAGACTGGAGCTGACGGACGCTCTGAAGGCTTCAACAAAGCTCCGCAAACTGTGTGTAAATGTTCCCTGTTCACACAGCTCTCGTAACAGACTGACGCTCCTCTGAGCTCGGCCTGAGGGTGATAGAAGGGATGTTGTGGAAGGATTTTTTTATATGGCTGCCAGGTTCACGTAGACCAGGGGCAGGCAACCTCGGCTCTCCAGCTGTGCTGAAACTACAAATCCCATAAGGGATTGCAAGCCTCGGGCATGACTCCCAGAGGCAGAAGCATGATGGGATCTGTAGTTTAAGCACAGCTGGAGAGTAAAGAAGTTGTAGCCCTCCTGCACCTTCCTAAAGCAGGAACACTGACTGAAATGATCCGACATCCAATTCTTTCCCCAATCTGTCCGAAAAAAAGAAAAAGGTTTTGGGCGGAGTTGGGCTTTTAAACGAGTACAAGAACGGGTTATGTGAACGAGTTTCTTATAACCTAAATAACGCCGGGGGGCCTCTTTGATAAATAGGAAGTCTGGATTCTGGCGGGTTGGTCTGTTTTTATTAACTATTTTGGAAACTTTTCACCAGCTTTGAAGAGACTGTCTGATTTTTAGAATGCTTCCGATGGCAGTACGTTTCCCTGGCGGTCTCCATCACCCTGAGGCCCCATTCACACGTAGCGCACATTTATCGCGAGAAGTCGCCGGCTAAGGCCCCGTTCACATGTAGCGACTTATCGCGCATTTTTGTCGCGCGATATCGCGAGAAGTCGCCGGCTAATGATAGTCAATGGAGCTGTCTTAACTCCGTTTAAAATAGGGCTTGCCGCAGTTTTTTTCACCTGCTCTGGATCTGCACGCTGCGATGTGAACTGGAGCTCAAAATACCATAGGAATACATCGGACGCAGTTTTGATCCGGTCTGCACCTGCTCTGCTCTGGATCTGCTCTGCGCTTGGTGTGAACAAGCCCTAAGGGCTCCTCTACATGGGCATCGGAAAAGTTTTTGTGCCCATACAAGTCAGTGTAAGCAGCTCAGCGCAGACTGACGCAGGTCGGAAGCAGCTCAGATGGTGCCGTACACCTTCTACATTCTCGCTCCGCAGTCCCTGATACTGGACGGAGTCGTTTTGCCAGCAGAGGTGAAGAAAAACTTTCTGCAATAGTCCGCATCGGGGTCAGGACAAGGATTGGGGGGGTGGGGAGCTGCACCCGGCACAGTCTTTTCATGCGAGGCAGGGCTGCATGTGCTCCCTACTTTTGGTTCTGATTTTGGGTCCACATGAAACCGATTGGACCTGCACAGTGATGCTGAGACAAGTCCGGTGGCAGCGGAATCCCAGCTGCAGAGGATGATTGGAGGGGTGCAGTTTGGCATCTACGTTCGGGTGCTCACCAGGGAAGGGGGGTGGGGAGAAAGGGAAGCAGAGTTTAGCGTCTTCGCTCTGAGTAGTGGATGATCTTGTCCTGAAACCGGTCCACGTTTTGCATTTCACTTCGACAACGCAGTCTTCCATGTCCAAACTTTTATCATTCTGAAAAGTAGTAAAGTACAGAAATGTGCAGAATAATAGTTTTGTGATCTTTATAAATAGTCCTCAACGCTTGCTAAGGTTTCATATCAGCCTAGAACAGCGGTTCTCAACCTGTGGGTCGCGACTCACTGTTGAGGGGGTCGCAGCATCCACTTCTACTGCGCTAGGTGAGAGACTCCTCAGCCTCCTCCTAGCGCAGCAGTGTCAGTCAGCGGGAGGACAGCAGAGGCCGCTATACACACTCCCTGGCTGCTGCAGCGACATCTAGTGGCCGGGGGAGTGTGTGAGCTCTGCAGGAGGCGGGCGTCTAAGCACGGCTGGGGCTGAGAAGGCTGCATGGGGACAAAGCAGGGGCTGGGGAGGGCTTGTATTCTTGTGAGTGCTTCTATTTTTAGTCCCAAATCCAGCGCCTTACTAATTCTGGAGTCCAGCGCTCCATTGGGGGTCACCACAACTTGGCAAATGTTACCAAGGGGTCCCGACCCTAGAAAGGTTGAGAACCGTTGGCCTAGAAGAAGAGAAATTGACAATTTTGTGACTGTACAGGACACAGGCATCGTCATAGCAGACTGGGATATATGCCGCTACCTTCAGGTGATTGGGCACTGGCAAACAGGACCCCACATATAACTCCTCCCACTCCCAGGAATCCTGCATTTTATTTTTCTGCTAGTGTCTTAGGCGGTGGATGCCGTTCTCTCTACCGAGGGAGGTTTTTCCCGCTTGGTTTCTTCATTCAAGACTGGCTGCCCCATAGCCACTGTTGGTTTTGTAGCTTTTCCCGGCTCGGTTCCCCTTGTCAAAGCCTCGGGGACAGTACCCGGACCCCGCTGGAAGAAGAAGTGGCGTCGGACTGTAATGTTGTTTTGAGTCCTGGACCTTGGCGTTTGGCACTCGCCTTGCGTTTGGCGGTATGCCCACCCTTAGATGGCAAAGGCTGAAGTAGAATTCCCCCTCTATACCCAGTGATTGGGTGAGTTGGGGGCTGTGCCCCTTTTTATTTGTGTTCTGGGACCCGGAGCCTGCACTGGTCTGGCTCTGTGTGCGGGTATGCTGGGGGAGATTGGTGCTGCCTGTGTTTCCTCCCGTGGCCCGGAGGATTGTTGGGATGTGTCTCATGTGCACGGCAGCAACTTAGGTTCCTTCCTTCATGGCTGTAGTGGACAGTTGGGTGCATACCGAATCCACTCCCTCCACCGGAGACACTTGGACACAGCAGCTGCCCACTCTGGGTACCCGCAGTCATCAGTTGCTTGGACACCTGAGATGGTTGTATCAGGTGCGTCCTGCGGGCGAGCAGCACAGAGGGAACCCGCTGGCAGGAAGCAGCCGGAAGGGTCAGAAGGCAAGGTAACCAGGGGGCAATCCAAAGAGGTAGTCGAGGGTAATCCGAGGTCGAGGCAGGCAGCAGAGGGTCAGAAACGATAGGCGGTCCAAGGTCGGTACACGGGAGGTCAGCAGAGGGCTCAGGAAACAGGCAACAAGGCACATAGGAGGGGAGCTTCGTATGTCACACCAAGAGGTGGAATAACTCAGCAATATGCCAGAGCTCAGGCCAGGTTTTTTTAGCCAGGGGAGTTAGGACCACCCCCTGGTCACCGAGGCAACCAGGAGGCTTCCTTCCTCTGGAACCAATGGCAGGCGAGAGAGATGGAAGGTGTGTACAGGGAACCTCCCCCAGCAAGGCTCACACCTGAATCCTAATGGAGCAGGAGTGCTACACACGTGCCCCCGGGGATGCGCGTGCAGCCTGCGTGCCGCGCATGCGCACCCGCCGTGCGACTCGAGCATGCGTACCCGCAACCCGGGCACCAGGAGTTCTGCCAAGCTGAGGGGAAACCCGTGGCCCCCGAGCAGGGGCAACACCCGCTGCTTCCTGACAGGTTGTGCCTGCTTGCTGCTAGTAGCCCCCACCCCCGAGGAGACCACTCACTACGCTGTGGCTGACGAGAAACACAAAAGGGACTGGGCCACAGGGTCTTGCCAGCACACGTTCGGCTAAAGGCAATGGAAGGGTTAAACAAGACCTCCCCTGAGGACTCTGGCTTGGGCAATCCTTGCTTTCTCCACGGGTTGATTCTCTCCTCCGGTACCTCCATTGCTCCCCTCAGGCGCACCACATTTCACCTACCTAAGCAGAGAGGAATTTGCAGCTTCCATGGCTGATTTTATGGTGGAAGATTGAGGTTCTTTTAGGGTTCTACCGGCACGAAGTCCTTAAGTTGCTCCCTCTGCCTCGCCACAGGCATCTTTTTATCAAATCTATCAGGGCGAGCGCCATGTTTCTGGATGAGGAGGAAGCTCTGTTAGAGGAGCAATCTTCATCAACGTCACAGGAATGAGGAAGCTCATTCTACCCCCATCTCCCCTAAGCTCAAGGACACTATTGAGGTCCTTATGGACTGAGTGTGCTCATGGTTGGTTTTAACTCCCTCTGTCTTCTTAACTGAAGGGTCATCCGCATGGGGTTCCCTAAAGAGGCCCAAGCTAGCTAAGGACATTTCCTGTACACTCCCTCATGAAGAATTTTGTTGTAGGTTGACTGGTGTAGGCATGTTGGGGTGTCGTCGTTGTCCCGCCCCCCCCCCCGTGTGCATTGATCAGCAATTCCCTATTGAGGAGGACTTCCTTAAAAAGTGGAAAGAGCCTATATCTGCCTTTTAATAAGACTCCATTGCTTCCATCAATGCAAGTTTGGACCAAGCGTATGGCCCCTGACCTTGGTTTCTTTCTCACACATCCTTCAGTCATTCAACATTTTGAAGGTTGTGCCCATGGTGTTGCAGTACTGAGTTGATGGGATAGCTGATCCCAGTGGCTCAGGTGCTGGTCTGTGGAACCAGCGTGTAAGAAATGCCTGGAGAAGATGAATGTCTAGACCCATGGTTCTCAACTGGTGGGTCGTGACCCCATGTTCAGTGGGTCGCCGCACGGCTTCCACTTTTCTGGGTGAGAGGCTCCCCAGCCTCCCCCTAGCACAGCACTGTTCGCTCTCACACCCGGCAGCTATTCAAAATATGCCGCCCGGTGCCAAGTGTTGACTTGAGGTGGGCTGGGGATACGTCATCGAGGGAGCTCCATCCATACGTGCATTGCTTATGGCTTCCTTGCCTGCCCTGTAGAGGTGCCTGGACCAGAGTGGCGTCACATTCTGGCTCCGGGCACCTCTACAGGGCACGCGCGGGAGCTGTACAAGCATGCACATATGGATGGATGTCCTGCAGGTGGATGACTTCCTGTGTCCCTCAACGGACGAGAAAGAAAACAAGATTTTTGTATTCAGTGTAAATTCTTTCCTTGAAGTCCATTGAAGGACACCAGTCCCACCCCTCTGTTTATGATCCTGCCCCTGGTACTGCGTACTACAAAACTGTCTCACGCTGGTAGTGGGAGGAGTTATCCCGGGCTCGTTCTTTGTTTGCCATTGTCCAATCCTCCTGTATGGGGCAGTATATCCCGATAGTCGAGACTTGTGT